TTTCCAATATGTATTCATACGAAAACCACTCTAAGATTTATTTAATAGCATTGCAGACGGTGCACTACATGACAGACCGATGTATTGATATGCCATCTACACGWTGACCACTAATTGAATATCCTAGTCTAATGGTCTTTGACTTACAACTAAAATGAAAAGTAAATAAAMGGTGAAAGTAAGTCATAACTTCAAAGTCAAAACGCGAACAAAAGTGAGAAATTACAGGAACATTTAAAGTGCCTATCAACCTACAAGATCTCTTCATGTTTGGAAGCCCTTATCAAACGAATAAGGATTATTTTTTCTATGATATCTCTTTACGTTGCCGACATTCAATATAGAAATCACGAATKGATGACGTCAACCCAGGATTTTCGTAAAAAGTTAAATTATCAAATAGTGAATATCTCTTTGAGAATTAGCTCAAAATGACTGAAACGACGTGACCAAGTCCTGCAAAGGGCTTGGAAAGCCATTTCAATGTTGCGGGCACTCATATGAAAACCATTCATAGAGGAAGCCATTTCAATGTTACGGCATGTCGTACCGCGTGATCCTCGTAAAAAGTCAAATCACCAAATAAAGAATCTCTGTGAGAAATTATCTGAAAATGACTGAAACTTTTGGTAMCATATAGTGCGCTATGTTCACTTTAAACCACATATCCTACATGTAGCCACAAGACCCACATTATCAACTAGCTTGAGTGCTTGAGGCTTCGCTTTGTGTCAATCTTTGTTAGCATTTTACCYCCAATTTTAAATTACATTAAATTGCATTTATTAGTATATAAAAAGATGTTTGTAAATATCATCATATTCTTATTATTCTATTTTTATAATCCTTCTGTAGGTGGTCTTCCTTGATATTTATTTTAAACTTCTGTGAGTATTGAACTGACAGTTGGCATTTTTCCGTCTTCTTTTCTCTTCGTCAACCCTTGTTTTCAAATGATCTAAGCCAGACTAGAGGACGGACGACTTTTATATATAGTACGCACACAAGTGGTCTCCAAGGGTGATATCCAGTCTAGTTCAATAAAAATACRATGGTCTAGTCGTCTACTTAATTCAAAGACACGTTGCATCACGTTAGGATGATGTCTGGATATATGACTCAAACTTCATTTCATATAAGAGACTTAATATAAAAAGGTATAGTCGCTCGCAATCATGATTTTTTTTWWAAATTTCATAATGATTATTTTTTYAGATTAACATTTAATAAGGCCTCGTGGATTTAAAAATCTAAAATTTCCCATTCAATTGTTACAGTTTTGTTGTTCTTCGGTCGTATTAGTTGACTTGATAATTTTAGACTAATTTGCGAGTCGTTATCTTTACAGATCAACGATATTCCCAATTCAAAACCATACCAGATTGCACCACAGTTTTTCTTATGGGTTTTTAATTCAGCAACATGCAGCAAATGTATTTGTATTCTAGTGCTATAGATAATACAATGCTCTCAACACACCTCTAGATCTAACGCTCTTGAAAACAGCTCTTCAGCAATATTCTATTTTTWATTAAATACTAGTCTATTTTCGTAGTAAAAAAAGTAAAACTTTCTAGTAAAAGTCAAAAACAAGGAAACGTTTTCTCGCATTTTCTTCGTTTAATTTAAGAATTGGATTTACTTTCAAAGATTAAAGATCAGTGTACCGTTGTAGCTCGTTTTAGCACCTTTAAGCGGATAYATTCCTTCGTTGCCATGGTAATTTAGATGCGTTGACTATTTCTATAAATAACTAAGTACAGAGCAATAACAACAACAACATCAGCAGAAACCTAGCTAGCAACAGCAGCTAGCAACATCACACGAGAATAGCAGCAGCAGCAACCAATGAAAATATTCATGTAAACTACACCAGTAATGATTGCTTCTCAGATCATTTCCAAAAAAGGCTAAAAGAAAAAAAAAATCTCAGTTTGAAGAAGTAAAGTGGCTTCTGCGCATGAGATCAATATTTCCGTTTGAGCAATAGCAATCTCGTACCCAGAGCCCGCGTTCCCTTASGCCAAAATGAAACGCAGGTTATGGGTACGAGATTGAAGCAGCCACCGAATTTTGAATTCCAAAATCTTCTAGCCGATCCAGTCATTTTTGTGGATGATCTGAATCGAGTGTGATTAGTCACGTGCTTATAACTAACATTCATTGGTATTTACAGTACCTGTTCCACAGGACAGGAGAAGGGACTGAGACTAGCTGGACTTGCGTTTTGAAATACCCAAACATCTTCGTACACAGACCCTACTCATTAACCAAAGRCCGGGTCTTGGTTACACTGGGTTCTAGAGTCTCTTTCGCTCCAGTGCTTTTAGCTCGTCAGTGGAAATAACAATCTCGTGCCCAGAGTCTTCCAGCGCTTTTCTACCTTGTCTTCAGCGCCTGACCAAAAAGCCGGAAGACAGTCCAGTTTCGAGTTCCAAATTACTGCTGTGTTTCTTGATTACAGACTCATTTACTCAGGCTTAGCCTCGAATCAGTGTCTAATTACTCGCAAATACCAACGGTAAAGTGAAGAATGCACAACTTCAACAATACGAACACTTGGAAACTTGAATGGACCGGCTGGAACACGTGAATATTCTTCACAAAATCGAGGCTAATCCTGAGCAAATGAGTCTGTAATCMAGAAACACAGCGGTAATTTGAAACTTACGACCGAGAAGCACTGGAGCGAGAGAGCCTCTGGAATCCAGTAAGTCTCGGTACGAGAATGTCCAAGGACAAGAGCGGGTACCCTGTGGTTGGTATTTGGGAGTTTGATCGTTATCATATCATTCTTATTATTCGGTAGAGTTTGATGGGATTAGTCTACACATGGTTGCATGTCTTCTGTCTATTCGTCACTTTCTYCAAAGGTAAGTCAGAGTTCATCGCATATCGTTTCTGTATTTACAGTCCTGGTGCGAGTCAGTAATCCAACATACATACTAGAATCGATCCTGGCCACTAAAAATGTGAGTAATGTCGTGTAAATGAGGAATCCGCGTCGATCCAATCAGCGCGCGCGGGATCATTCATTCGTCCAATGAAAATACAACTAATTAGAAGAAGCACCTTTTTGAACCAAAATTCATTGCGCGCTTAGCTAACTTAATACTAGTGGGCAAGAGAGTGTCTTGTAGTGGGTTGGAAGAAGGATGGGCAACGAAACTGTTTATTGTGCTTTTAAAYAATGCGTAATGAAACGGTTATTTATTTCCGGATAGATCAGGAAAAATTACCAGTAATTGGAAGAATACCGACTGATTTTTAATTGGAGGAGTCCACTGAACACAAGGACTTTTAATTTTCAATGCTACAAAGTTAAAAAAAGAAAGGAAAGATGTAATAGGAAATATAGTACGAAATAGGAATTACGAAAAACGGCCCCGCATAAAGACCTTAACAGGAATCGCTTGCGTCAAACTTGTTGTCSATCATAAAAGCTTTAACATTTTTCATTTACTCATTCTTTGCCTCATACTACACCGGCCATTTGTCGGCTGATATATAGAGAGCGATCAAGTGATTTGATTGTGTTTCTTGTTGAACGCACGCCTCTTGATAAGGACACCTAACGACCATTTTATGTGGTCATATCCGAGCAGCCGTGGGTTCGAACCACTGAAATGAAAAACGACCAATCAAAAGGCTAGAAATACACCTTATGTGYGCATGCTCCCCATTCTGCGCATAAGTTGATCGAGACAACGATAACAGTTTATGTACAATAGTCCTTTTCACAGTGATCCTGCGCCATCTTTAAGGTAGCCGATGCAAAGGCAGGGAACTGTGAAAGGTACTATTCATTCACCATACAGTCAAGTTCGTTATAGGCCCGGACCGCAGTGCACGTGTGCTTTCGTTATCGCATAGTTCTGAGTTACTGGAAAAACAATTGAACTTGTGAACGATGGTCGTCATCCTCAAAAGTATAGCTTAAATTTCTTTATTCTTTTTACCCAGACCCTTCTCACCAAAAACAATTCAGTACGAGAATGGTATTTCTTTAGTCTTCGAATACATTTGTTTCAGTCACGTGGACCGGGTAATGCTGGCCCCTTTGGGTAGGCATGCGGTAGTCGCAGTCCCAAATATACCGAGAATCAAAACGAAATTGTCTCCTAAAAGCTCTTGTCAGTAAACTATTCCCAGGAGGCATTTCAAAAATCAAAAAAAACTTACACTTGACTTTTCCTATCGAGATTGCTTACTTAACTGTTATTTCTAAATATAAGCATAAAAGGAATTGAGTAGGCACTGTTTCTAAAAAAATGACAAATTGATCATCATACATGCTTTAAAAAGAAAAAAAAGAAAAAAAAAGAAAAAGAAAAAGAAAAAAGAAAAAAGGAAAGAAAAGAAAAGAAAAGAAAAGCTTTTCTGGGTACGATAGGGTTTGAACCATAAACAGAAATTACAAAATAAAATTAAAATCGATTCAATTTGCCATACCCCCGAGACATCCGCAGAGCTGAGGCGTCGTATGGACTTCGGACCTGACGGCGATTAAATCCTTCTGCCCTTGGGTGYACGAATTACGCAAGAAAATGTTCTAGCCGAAGCATCAGGGGAGAGAMCAGCCGGCCCCCAGACCATATTGGCTAATCCCTTGCATCTCTGCCACGCACGGAATCGGTTGAAAAAATAATGTTAAAAAGTCTAGTCTATTCGGTGCATTGTTTTCATGGCTATTGTTATGCTGATTTACATGGAACCGTGGTCCAGTGGAAAAAACGTGGGCTTTCATATTATGGCTCTAAGTCAAGTCCGGTTGAGCGAAGTTAGTACCTGGATGGGTGASCTGAAACGTATGCCTACTGATTTTTTTCTCTCGTAATTTTCAATCGAGTTCATTTGAGAAATCATCTAACATTAAAAGCTGCGCATGCTCATGCCAAGCATTTAACCAATTTTTACCAAATAAACAGATTWAAAAAWAAAAAAAATTTCTATGAAGAGCCACGAAGAGAGTCGTTCGTATTGATAGTTTTCACACAGCCGCCATGTTGGATGAAAAAAGATTCGTCAKTAGTCTCTTTCGTTATATATTATCCAACATGGCCGCCGTGCCTTTTGTTATTTCGTTGTCTTGGAAATAATTGCAAACGAGCAATAATTATTTTTCCGAGGCTGAGAAGAATCGCTTCAAATTTCTCCAARAAAATAGGATAGTTAAAATCGCGATTAGAATTCGCTTAGTTCAGAATTAAAAACGTCGACATTTAAACTGAGCTAAAACTCTCGCGCAGCAGTGCCGTCGTTTATGACATGCAGCCRGCAATTCGTTTCTGACGGCAGTACCTCTGTCTCAAAAATGCATGCAGCAACTCGTTTCTTAGCTTATTTGCACCCACTCGTCTTACTTACTACATGCCCTTCCTGGTATGGGTAGAAAACGATAACCACGTAGGGAAAAAATGCTTAATGGCCACATTTTAATACATCGTTACCATCAGGGTAGGCTAACTCCCCTACTAACAGAACGAATTGAAATTTGAGAGGGTTGGGTTTTGCGAAGGGAGAAAAAAACACGGAGAACGCCCACAAAATYCTACACTAATAGTTAAAACATATAAAAAGGTTGCGACATTTGCACACTTGGAATTGCAAGGCGTTTTTAAATCAATGACAACTCGGTTTAAATGTCATGACAAGTTTTGACTTCCTAAGCATTATCTGTCTTATGATCTTCTAGCTTGTTCAATGTACCCGTGGGAGTAGAAGTCGTAAAACAGCGACGTTGCTTAGGGCTCTTTTACGTTACTGATGTTTGACTATGAAAATCTCTAGTCAACATTTCTACTCAACTTAMTGATGATCCACCATAGAGTAAAATATGTCTGTTTATCTCGTGGGCTTTCGTTTGACTATTAAAATTTCTACCCAACTACTTTATTCATTCATAAATAAGCTAAAAAAAATCTACACATCATTACTCATGTATACATCCTTATTATATCGTTATTGCCTGCCTCAGGGAATAACAGGAACGCAAACGAAAAACTCTTTCTATAGAAAGAGGATCAGCTTGGCCGGGACTATTAGACCTGAAGAACTATTATCGTTGAAATTGCTYTTCAAATATTAAGAGAAAGGAACGAGTACTTGTAATATAAAAAGATTATGAGTTGGCCTCTTTCGGTATAGAGGTGCTTGACTTGTGTTGTCAACGTTTTGAAGGCAAGCACCGACGTTGTTTACGACGTACAAATACGCATGCCTTAAGCAATCTACTTGAAATACTTCCTGTGTTCGAGTCGACTTCAAGTTGTATTTTCGCTCATGTCACGCACAGACTCCCAAACCGGCTGCCCGTTTCTCTGTATTTCCTGGCGGGGATGTGCGCTTTTCTATTCTTTTTATTACTCTTTTTATGTTTATATATATATATTTTTTTCAGGCATGAACGGTTGCGTAATGTATGCGTTTTTTTTATTTTTATTTTTTTTACCAACACACACATTTTCTTCGTGTCATTACGTATACCTTTTTTTAATTCTCTTGAGTATTACTTCCTTCATAAAAGATAATGATTATGGGAGAAAGGAAGGAAGAAATCTTGAACGAAATCTTCAGCTAAATTGTAAAATTTTATTCGAACTGAGATATCCTCTCGTCATTTCATTCCTATTTGAATGACAAAAACGAGCGAAAAAACTGAGAAAGAACAAAAGACGAAAAGAGAAAAGAGTCAAATAATGAGGGAATCAAAAGTATAAAGAATGAACGGAAGGAAGACGGAATGAATAGAAAGAAGAAAAGAAAAGAAAAGAAAAGAAAAGAAAAGAAAAGAAAAATTTACCGGTTTTTACTGAGAAATTCCCTACAGTCACGTGACACCTGTGCCTACTCAACGCATGCGCGTTTCCAATATTTTCACTCTGGTTGAGAGTCGTGGCGATAAAAGTTTGTGATGGAGGGAAGATGTTTGCCGGTTTGTTCAATTTTTTATGCCTTTTATCGGTAATAATCCCTTATATYATTGCTACAACCCAAGAGAGTAATTATCAAGGTACCGTTCAGTAATATTTTTGGGATTATAGCTTTCTTTTTAAGTATTTTTTACAGCGTTTTTCTTAACCATGGTTGTGTTTGTTTGTCTCTCATTCGGCAGTAGGAAATCTGGCTTACGCTGGTTCGTATGGCCAAGATGATGTAAAAAGACGTTTATTTTATCCTTTTCACCAACTACACACTCAAACCCAAGACTACAAGCATCAAAAACAACATTTATATGTCAGAAAAAAATCTTCAAATCGTCCTGTAAAGAGAATTTTGAATCCAAAAGAGCGCGATCTTCCAAGCTATAAATCCAGTTCTTCTTCAAGAGGACGAGACAGTTTTTCTAAACCTTTGGAAAAAAGACCAGAAGATGTCGACCAGAAATTCCTTTTAATTCTGGTAAGTAGAATAATATTCGTTTTTTATGGCGTTGTTCTGYGTAGTTATATCCGGCGTTTTGGTGCAATGTTTTGATGAAAAAACTTGAATCAAATCGTCGCTTAATTTATTCAAACATTGAAAATCGAATCTTTGATCGCTCGTAAAATCTTAAAAATAACTTCATTTTTCGTCCTTTATAGAAAATATATCGGAAATATAAGTTCTGATTTCTTAAATATTTGGTATTTATATTTTTGATTTCCGGGGGATCGTATTTTGATTATATGTTCAACATCTGATTTTTATTTTGGGATCAAAGAGCGTAGAGTTTACGGCTCTCGTTTCGCGCCCCGTCGAATATTCAAGCCGTTTGATCACGACGCAATCTTTTTTCGGCCAAAAAAAACACAGATAACACCAACAATTTGATCGGCTTTTGAATTTAAGACAAGTGTTTTTGTGAAGATTTGATACGTTGTTAAAAATCTATACCTAGTGAGGATAGCGTGAGGGAGAAAAAAAAAAAGAAAGAATCTGCAAATGATGGAAGCTGGTGTCTTTCGAATCCTATTCTTTTTTCTATTGTTTTTGAACAAGGTTATTTTAGCGTGATCTTTAAACCTACAAAGTCATCTGTCTGCGATCTCACTGCCACGGAAAGAAGAGTTTTCACGGATACATAGATTTAAGTAGATTATTTTGTCGCGTAGGACTAATTCGTATCCCACTTACGATTTTTCAACGTTGGAAGTGTTCAATTTTCGACATATTTTGGTCAGTTAGAAGCAGTATTTTTTTGTATGTCAGCGAATAAATCACTCAAAATTTGACAGTGTTTTTTTATAGAACTCCAATGATTACTTCTTGTTTATCTTTTAGTATTGTTCAGTTTTCGATTTCCCATAGAACTACTGCTAAGGATTTCTTCAATCCTTTTCCTCTCAATATCCATCATGATTTAAATGTTAAAAACAAAACAAATGGATAATTGTATCTTTTTTGTTATTTTTTCATTGTTAGCTATGCGTTGTTGAATTCTTCGTGGTTGAGGTAGAATTTTTTTGGGTTTTCGAATTAAGAAAAGTTATTTTTCTTCTGATGTGTAAAGTGAAGTTGGTAAACTAATTATGAACGATTTGTCAAACAAGATCTTTAATTTCTTCTCAGTTGTTTTATTTTTATTTCCATTTTCCCCATTTATTCCCTTTCATTTCTTCTCATTTTTCTTTTAAATTTCATTAATCAATAATTTAAGTAGCATTGCCTGTTTTTCATATTTATTTTTCATATTTTTTTCTTTTATTCCTATGAGTGTGAAGATCGTATTTATTGAATAAATTAGTCAAATTGATAGTTTTGTTATTGAAGGTAATTTAAAAGAGAAAAGTAAAAATATAAAGTAAATCCAAAATAACTTTATTTTTTTTAGAACACTTTCTTTTCGTTTTATCACATGATCTTCCTAGATGACCTAACTATTACACAAATATATATACATATCAATATCTGTCTAAATAGATGTAAAATTTAATACAATTATTAGTTCTGTTTATGGAAAATTCTTTAATCTCATATTGAAGCAGCATTTTAAAATTATATACTCTTGACCTTTGCACTTGTGTTATTATCATTAGATTATCCTATATTATAATTATATATAGGGCATATATTCATTGATATTGAGAGATTGGCTGCGCTTCTGATATGCCGCCACTCACGATTCTGGTATAGCATGAGTAGAGTTGCTTGTTGGTGCTTCAAGGAGATTTTTTAGCTTCTCCAGTTGAATCTCATCCCTCCACAAAAATCAACTTATGAATTTCCAATTTTCCACAGCAAAATATGTTTTGCTGCTAAAATATGTTTCGCAGATTTAAAAAATTCACTTTTTTCTTAAAAATAACTTATAAATTCCATATTATTATACTCTAAATAGCAATAAGCTTTTTGCTGGCTTAGAGGACTGCCAATCATCCCCTATGTGGTTCACGAAAATACACATTAAATATATCCATTTTTGTTGTGTTTTTTTAATGTCTAAAAGACGAGTACTACATTGAGGCAATCATTAGTTACAAAAAAAAAAGAAACCTGCATTAACATAAGACCTAGATATGATGAAGCACAAAAAGAAGGGAAAAGGTTTAACATCATTGCATTCTCTGGGTACATGTGTAGAGAACATAAGGTCTAACAGAGAACAGGCTTGACCTTTTGGTTTAACAGCTAAAA